AATTCTGAGCCAGAAAAAAGACGTACAACTAGACTATCCAAAAAAAAGAATAAAATCATTCTATAGAGGAGAAAGAGCTCTTTCGAATGACTATATACACTTTGCGAAAAAACAAAGCAATTCGTTGTAAAATGACTCCAACATAAAACTTTACGAACTTATGTTACAACCCAATATTTGCTAAAGATATGAATTTACAGAACAGTCTCAATCTTGAGTGATGCGAATGTTATTCAAATTCAAATTCGTGTGTGCGTGGTCAAAAAATGGGGCTGGTACCGCCAAAAACGAAACTCTCTGTTTTCCGTGGAGGGAAAGGAATTTTCCTTCATCCTTTAACAGCTTCTAGATATTCTTTAAAGTTTGGCTGTTTTGTGCTTATTTTCGCCATAATCTACTCCATCTGCTGAAGAGTAGGGACCAATGTCAAAGATTATGGACGTTATTCTAAATGATAGGGCTACAATGGATGAGGAAGACAGAGGCTGTTTATCGTTTCCAAACTGAACGCTGTGACATAACTAGTCACACCCTTCGAGAGCAGGCATGGGATGCGTCTTCGGAGGACACATGGCGACACTACGGGATCTGCTAAGACACAGAAGAGGAGTGTTACAGAGCGGAAAGCATCAAGGAGCGTCTTCCGCCGCCTGCGTACAGTTGTGTGGCGCGCCTGCGTACAGTTGTGTGGCGCTTTTAGTTATATGCTTTTTATTCCTCTAGCATTGTGGCGCAGCATACTTTGCGCCATTTTCAAGAATGCACCATAGGACCCCTTAGCTATCCCTTCACCCGCTCGGCGTCCTTGCCCGGAGCCTCTTTTCCATGCGTCGTATATGTGGCGAGGGAAAAATTGTGCATTCAGATAACGTTATGCCTCGGAAGGAAATGAGCTGACTACAGAAATTTTGCAGAATTCGGAGGCTGCTCTTTGATGCCTTCCGTTCTGTACAGTCACTCGATACGAATTGCTCCTATATTTGACTATCTTCTGATTTCCACAACTCGGTGCAGTATTTGGATTCTTTGGCCTAGTTGAGAGGCCCTAGGTTCGCATTGAAATAAAGAGGAACCTATCACGGCCTACCTGGACTGACTGCAGCCGGTTGAGTTGCCTATGCTGACTTTGCACATTACTATACTGCACACTAAAGTGTTTTGTTGAGAGGTAGATGCACTGCACGCACCCTTTCGAATCTCTGATTATTCACGGGTGGTTAGTGGTTTCGTGCGGGTTACTCTTTTCAGCACCGGAGGCTGCATTCTACATGTTGACGACTTGCCATCCTCAGCTTGGTGCCTTCTTGTTAGGGGGATGCTGTCTCCTCGCTGGACCTTATCAGTAACGTGTTCATTTTCATTTCGGCATTTCATTTTGTTCATTTTCGGCATTATCTGACTATTGTTATATATAGTCGTTTCTTCCCTCATTTTATGCTGACTAAACCACCTTTGATTCGAATAGGCGCAAAAGCAGTGCAGTTTCAATGTATCAGTGCAAACAACCCAATGCATCCAACGCAACTTCTTCCCATCAATTGAATAAATGCTTCTCTTCCAAGAACCACAGTTTGGAAGTCCGCGTGCCTGTTATTCCAGGACATAGGATTGAAATCTGCGCACAAAGGATACCGTGGTTGCTGTGGGATAATCCGTTGGTGTGAAAACGAAAAGATGAGGTTGCCGCGTTCAGGAGTATACTCTTCAACAATCATTGCTTTAAAGGCACAGTTCACCATAATTCCCTGTTGCTAGCTGGCGGGGCTTTCCTGCCCCTCGATCGATGTCACGTAGACGAGTGTCGAGACGATACAGATCGCAATTATTCGTTCTAGGACCCACGCTCAATCTGAGGCGATGTATTTCTGCTATTCCTTTATTCTCTGTTATTCTTTTTTCTGGTGCGATCCCTTATTTACTTTTCTACCACAAGATGCTAAAAAAGGTGGGCTATTTTTGCCGTTACTAGGGTGTTTTGTTAACTCATGCTTATGAGTGAATGATTTTTTGCTTACCGTAGTCAGCTTTTTCGCTCAAGACGCAATGACACACAATGTGCTGATCGTCCAAACGCCCCACTCTTTTTCATTTTTCTGGTCTCGTTCTCGTCCAGCCCCCTTTCTAAAGATTTTTCGGAGCCTTTTTTCACTTTGGATACGCTGAATCGCGCACTTTCTTCGTCTTCATCACACTAATTTCCACCTTATCTTCCATTTTTCGTCATAATCCGAACAACCCAAGTTTTTCGTAAACTGTGCCTTCAAGGCGAAAGCAAGAAGCCCTGGACAAGAGATAACCGCCTAGTACGTTGAGTGGAGTTTTTCTTTAGAGCTTTACACCGCCGAAAGGCTCGATAAGTATATCTCAGTGCTTCATAATTTATGAGGGACCTTCCATTGATACATCCATAGTCTCGTTAGTACCCTATGGAACTTGTCAAGAAAAATCATAATCCACAATGTGATGCACGTTTACAGTAAGTGATCATATTCCCCTCCCTCAAGAACTCATTAAACTCAAGAAAAAAAGATCAGGTCTGTGGGTTCCATAACAAATGGGGAAATCTAAAAATAGTGATCTCTAAAAGCATGCACTTCTGTACCCGTGCTTTCCTTACCTGCATAGTCGTAGTCTTCCCCAAATCCTTGCTTGCGGTCCATCGAGCGAGTGCGAATGTACGCCGGCCTGTCACCATCGTTCTTGAAAATCCGTCGAGCTGTTGGGCGAAATCTTGAAAGAATAACTTTTGAATGCTTGCTATAGTTATGTTATGAAGTACTTGAAGATTAATGTACCATCAACTGGAAGATGTTTAAAGACTTAAGGCCTGTCATCGTCTGTGGCGACGATCCCATACTATTGGGTTGTAACATAAGTTCGTAGAGTTTTGTGTTAGGGTCATTTTACAACGATTCGCTTTGTTTTTTGGCGAAGTGTATATATTCATTCGAAAGAGCTCTTTCTCCTCTANTTTTTTTTGGATAGTCTAGTTGTACGTCTTTTTTCTGGCTCAGAATTGGAATATCCAGTAGGAGAGAATCAGCATTTTCGACATCTGCTTTTCATCGGGGTCAATAAGCAGCCGAAGCCGCTCGGGACATATGCAATGTGTACGAGGAAGGTGTCCTAGGTGTGTCTCTGGGTGGCCCCAGAAGAGGCACCGAAGCCGAGAGTCACGCAAGACCTTCACTCAAAATAGGTCATGATTTGCGTTTGGTGAGACTGGAAAAGCACGGTGGACTGGGAAATGCTCGAACGAAATGCTACTGTCAACAAGGTGGTCTACATTGCCCAGCTTAACCGTGTTAGTGTGGCTATTCTGCTGAAAAGACCAGATAGACAAGGTGAAGTCATCTGGCTCCACGACAACGCCAGGCCCCATAATGCCCAAGTCGTCAAAACAGCACTCCAAAAGCTTGAATAAGATGTTCTTCAGCATCCACCGTACTCTCCGGGTCTTGCACCTACCGACTACCACCTTTCCGCTCTCTGTCAAACCAAATGCGGAGTGTTACCTTCGATGGCGAAGAGGTTCTTGGAAACTGGCTCAACAACTTCTTCGACACCAGACCGGCCGATTTTTGGCGAAACGGCATCAACAAATTGGTCGAGAGATTGGAGGAGGTCGCAAACAGTAACAGGAAGATACATCATTGATTAGTTTATTATTATAATTATTGTTTTTTGGTAAAATAAATCTCTTTGAAAAAACTCTACGAACTTATGTTACAACCCAATACTATCTCGTTGTATCACTGCCTGAGAGGACTCCCTGGAACCCCGCCTCTAAATGGTGCGGGGTCAAGCGGAACCATCAAAAAGCGTGCTCCGCTTTGCTTCCTTTAACAACGTTAAGGGCAAGAAGTAGGTTTCGTATTGTGATAAAGACATTATTATTATACAATTACTTTGTGTTCTCATTGCGGTAACGTCGCACATACACTTTATTTGTCGAATTTTTTCCTCCCTTATTACCGGAGACATAAATACCAACTAGACCACCCGCAAATTTTTGTGGTTGTTCCCATACATGATGTTGAAGTGATGGGATTTTGAGCAGCATATGAAGCTCCTCCTGTTATATGAGTTGAATCATAAAAGTGAAGTGCGATTCGCATTCTCCAACCAGCTTTCCACTTCCTAGCATCAAATGAAGCCAAACTTGTCTCCGAAGATGGAACAGATCCGCTCATGTCCACAAGAAGTCATTGAGTTGATAAATAGCACTTTTTGTGAGGGTATGAAAGAGTATCTGCTGCGAATTTTACAGAATTCCGTGTTTTTTTCGAAATATTTTGAATGTTCTTGAAAACGGCTACGGGACGGCTACAGAGAGACCATACGAACAGTCTATAAGGAGTTTCTTAGTGGGCTTCAGCGAGCGAGTGGGCTTCAGCGAACTTGCCAGCTAACCCGAAAGAAGTATGTGACGAACATAAGGATGTATTTAGTTCATTTATTTGTTTGTGTATTAATAAGTCGTTGCGATTGTTTGTGTGTATGCGTGTGTCGGTGTCTATGTTCACACAGTATTTCAGAGAAAACTCCAGCTGAATTCCCAGAGAGGTACCGATGATCGGAGATATTGTACCCGATTCCGGCGGAATTTTGTCATACACTGCATATGAAGCGAAACAGACGCGGGAACGCTGAAGGCCTCGCTCTTGTACAACTCATCTCTTATATAATTCATTAGACCCCACATTTTACAGTTGTGAGAACTCGTAGTTTATACAATAATTCTCATAGTCGCATCCGTGTTCTTGTAAAATCACGCTCCGCATCAATTCCATCATGAATGCTTACAAACCTATTTGGAATGGGCGCGTTTGCTTCCTGGGCAACCGTAGCCGACGACGGGGCATGGTAGTCCGTTCCCGGAATTGCTGAAAAGCATCTATTCCTTTCCAAAGTTAAAGACCACGCGGAAATTGCTGGCCTTCAAAATGAATACCTCCTTTCTCGTGCTCATATGGTGTTCTCCTGAAAGGGAAGTTCTCTTCAAAACGGTTTCTGTACGTTTCACCCGAGCGATAGGGGTCAGTACTGAACGAGTCTTCCGGCTGAAAATCATCTTAGACTGCCATATTTTGCAATTGCCACCAATCATGATCTAGCTTTGTTCCACATAAGAAATATCAACAGGCTCTTATTATCCCAAGTATACCTTTCTTAATGCGAATGTGGATAGTGGGCGATCGCTTGCAGAAGAATAGTACGACGCCGGGCGGTAAGAAGGAGCTCCGCTTCTAAACAAAAGTCGTTAACGTCGCTGTTTGAATCTACCTCAATAGAAGAGAAGGAGGGAATGAAAAGATGATAACGTACGGTGCGTAGGTATTCCTCTCAGCATCTCGCTCGGCTCTAGTCTTGTACACTTCGAAACGTCGTGGCTCGGACGCCCACGACTGATTCTGCAAAATGAACTAACTCTCCTTCTAAATTTTCAGGGAAACAATAATCCACCAACTGCACAATCACTTTGTTCACTATATAGTACCTACCTGCTGCTAGAGCTTGGTCTGACGAAGACCACAAATCTTCTGAACTTTTCAGAATTTGAGTCAAAAAGACTAGAGAAAGAAATATATGCAACTGTACCTCGTCGAATTTCTTCGAGTGACTAGAACTAGCGTTAGACGAGTAGTAATTGGTTGCATCACTTGTTCCATACGGTGCAGTTCTGGAGAAATTGAAATAATTCACCAACACTTGAATTCACATTTCCGACCAGCCTCTACCTGTCATCCTACTACACTACTACGTAGAATTTGCTCAGCGTATCTGTTGACGTCAACGTATATGCGTCGTTGATTGTGTTTGTCTGCGTGTGCATATGCGTCGCTGTGTGTTTGACTGTGAATACACAACTCCTACTTCTCAAGATCTAGAGCATTACCTTAGGATTTGAAGCAGGATAGGAACACTGTTAGTGGGCGAGTGAAAGTGACAATAACCGATAAACCCTTGAAAAGTAAGAGCCACGAGAGCGGTTGCCGCACTTCGCCCAAACAGTGGAGCCTTCACAGTTTGATATAGGATGGGGATGGTCGACTACGGGTGACAGAAATTGATAATAGTTGGCACCCTAATACACTACAAATAAACAAATAATTTAACCCATCTAGCGTTGTACAAAAAGATAGATAAAGAATTTGGCATTGAACAGCCCTGTTTTAGGATGGGTATGCGCATTCAATTTCCATTAATAATTGTGGTGTCATTTTGAACGAGTATTTAGCCTATGCATACTATGAGATGCAGTGGTTAGTCTATGTGCAAGCCAGAGCTTCCATACTCCCAAACGAATCTGACACCAGTGATCCAACCTAGGAGGGATGCGTGCCCTGGAAGAACTAGGCAAGTATCGATTTGGGATTCCATCTCCGGGCCATGGGTGTGTCAGACGAGAGGCGTTGGCACTTAGCCACGAACATCACTTCGTATGAAAGCTTGACAGCCTGAAGTGCACGTTTGCGGTTGAGAAGATATGGTTCAATCCCAGAGCTAACGGTCTTCGTCGTCTACCTACCAACACTACCTACCCACCAACACGAGCACGAAGAAGAAGAGCTGGGAGCGCTTCAGATCGATCTGGAGTGCCTCAGCCCAGAAGACCATACTTTTTCCAAGGTCGGTGATTTCAACGCACGATTGGAGCCAAAAGAATGGCTGAAGAGCTCCACAATGGGACATGGAATGAGCAGGGTGACAGGCTGTTCGACTTCATCATGTTCACCCTCACTATACGCAGTTCCAGAAGTCCGCTCACTCTCGATGGACATGGGAGTCACCTGAAGGACAGTCCCATAATGAAACCAATCACATCATCTCAACCATAAAGTTTTGCTGAATGATGTCGCTGCTGTTCCGAAATTCTACACGGATCAGACCATCGTCTCCTTCGTGCTAGACTCTGCTTTTTGATGCGTGGAGAGAGAGTTGCGAAGTTTAAAGCGAAGACCCAAGACAGCCGTCAAATGGGACCACTTTTCTTCACTTGCGAGTCTGTGATAAGATTCCGTTAGTGAAACATCTTCACGATAGTGCCAAAAAAGCAGTTTGTCTCGAAGACCCCAGGAAACGTCTCCTCTCGAGGGCTCCAGCTGAAGCGGCGTGCCGTCACGTCGATGACGAATTGTACGGCGCCCGGTCTCGACAGATCAGAACCAGAACATCTAAAGAGCTTCCGCCGGTCATTGTCATAACTCTGGCTCGGCTCGTACTTGTTGGAATAAAGAGTGCTCACTTCGAGAAATACTAGCAAGACTGTGTTGCTATATGAGAAGGGAGAACCAGACGATATTGGTAATTATCGCCCAATTTTCCTGCTGTCTGTAATCAACAAACTATTCACACGCGTCATCCTCAACAGGAATGCCGGAATATTGAAGAACAGCAGCGCGAGTAAGCAGGGTTCCGGAGAGGGCTCAGTCCAATAGATCACATCCACACGGTTGCAAGACTCATTGAAGTATCGCAAGAGTACAAAATGACGCTTCGTCTTAAGTTCATCGATTTGGAAAGAGCCTTTGATGCCGTCGAGACAGAAGCGGTAATTGAAGCCCTGGGCAACCAGAGTGTTCCCACTCAATATTACGTATAAGGATGCTTTGTGAGCTCTACAACAACTTCGCGACCAGGATCTCGCCATTCTATAAAGAAGTCATCATCAACGTGAATACAGGGGTTCGACAGGGCGATACCATTTTGCCTGAACTTTTCAGTGCCGCTCTCGAGGACGTCATGCTTTTGCTCTGCTGCTCGCCTGCTCTTTGCAGTGCATATAACACCCACATCGAACAGAAGGAACAATTGCTAGCCAAACAATCGACAACACCTGTGGAGAGACTGAATTACGACTAAACCTCACAAAGAGGTTATGCTCAAGCGAAACGGATCGGTATTTGATCTTCCTTTTACGCTAAACGGAACGAATACCTCTAAATGCTTTAGCTAAGTGTGCCAAGGCCGAGAAGTAAGTACGATGAATGACTTAGCAGGGACTGAGCAGGAGCAAACTCGCGGCGAGGATAGCATTTAAGAACATCGCAGAAGTAGTGAAGTAGGCGAAATACATCCGGCCCCTCGCTCGCCTTTTGGGCACTACTGTCCTTCCTGCTTTGACGTACGTCTCGGAGACATGGACTCTACGAAAGCAAGACGAGTATGTAGTCAGCGTCAATCAACGCGCTGTCGAAAGAGCGATGCTCGGAACTTCTTCATACGCATGAGCAGAGAGGAATCCGGAGTTCCGACAGCGAACGAAGATCACGGGTGCCGCTGATTACGCCAATAAATCGAAAATGGGTGGGCCGATCACGTCAAGCGATAGTGGTTACCGCTGGACTGAGGAAAACTGTTTGGATCCCTCGGGTGTCAAGCGAACACTAGGACGGCCGCCAGCGCGATGGTTAGGTTTCTTCACGAATGCTCTGAACGAAAGGAATGCGCCGCCCCGTGTCCCCTGAACAAGGACGGGTGGCGGAACTTCTATCCGATTTCTCACGTTCGCTTTGCGGCAAGCGGCCAATCTTTTTAGTTGTGTCGCGGCTCCAAACAGCAATTACCAAACTCAGCCACCTCCCGACCAATCGATAAGACACCATATTTTTCATTGACTGCTTTCTTTTTTGGTTGCCTTTTTTGTTTGATTGTTTCTTTCTGTTTTTTTTTCTGTTTCATGATGCTTAGAATGCATTGGAATTGAAGGAACTAGCAAATTTAAATAATTATAGGGCTTCCTAAGTCACAGATTGCGTGCTCCATCGCATTCTTGCGATACGCGGCGGGTGCAGCAAGCGTGACGCAGTGTTCAGGGAGAAGTTACAGGACCCGCGAGGACGAGCTACAGGACTATGCTGGCTCGCGAAAGGAATGAATGGAGACATTACTGACAACCGCTCGAAGAAATCGATGGTATACGGAACAACAGGTGATACAGATGTGTGTATACATATACATATGTACATGTGTGTGAGCATGCGTATGTGTGTAGGTGCCCGCGCTTATATCATACAGGTATGCATGACTCCTGTCATCCTGGACTTAAAAATTCTTAAAGCGTACAGGCGCCAGGATAGAAATACTGTCGGTATGTGTTAGGAAATCAACTTGGAAATGAAAAGAAGTTTTGAAAGACATGAGTCTTGGGATTCGCTTCGCTGTTCGTATTAATAGTAAGACCCTGACACTTTTTTGGGTGATGGGGCAGATAATCGGATATGGTTGGTTGCGAGGTCTGACAATAGGTGAAAAGGGCTGAGAAGGGCTGTGGAAAGCAAGAGACTCTTTCTTCATCATGGCCATAGATTCGTTTCAATACATACATCTCCAAGGTCGTTTTTAATCTTAGTTGTTTTTCATAAACACTTTGAAATGGAACGAAGAAAGGTTTTTTGAGTGATATGCTCTCTAGTGCTCGCAAAACAAAAATCAAGAAAGTAAATAGGCTACTACTAACCTGAAGTCGTGCTGCTCCGGTAAGTGATCATAAGCACGAAGCTCTTCACGTGCCATGGCAACGCTCTGAAAGTGTAATTCTGATGTACTGGTTAACTGTCACATGCACTAGACGGAGTGGCCAGCCAAGAGAGGTGTAAAATGAGCTGCTGAGGAAACGAACTAACCTTGCTTTACTATTCTCAGTTTGAAACTGATTTCACAAGGAGGTCAAGTTTCGGAAGGCAAAGTATTTATGAAAGCTTGAGTTAGTGCAAACGAATACTAAGAAAATCGAATAGACCAGTAAGAATCTATTCGGGAACCCGTGGAAAATAGCACGGGGCAAGACACTGGCCGATGGGCATTCCGTGATGGCTTTCTTTGAGGGGATAAAATTAACAATTAACGATGTCATGCTTCTTCCAATAGTCACTACCATAACAGGAGTGTGCTCAAAAATAGACATCCTTTATATGAACTTTTCAAAAAGTTTCGAAAGTACGCTATCTCCTGCAGTTAACAACTCATGCGTTTACGGGCTCCATGTTTTTTGTGATGCTAATTATAATACTTCGGCTCGGCTCCAAAAGAGCTCGTGCCTGACGGTAATTGTTTTACAAGTACTCAGTAACCATAGCCATCAGAAGTAGGATTTGAGACCGGATTAGCACGAAGGTCATCTGTCGTTCGATGCTCACATAGTACGATACTCGTTCGTTTGCATATCACAGCGATAAGGTTTATACTTACGTAGCGATTAGGAGGAGAGTGCGTCCGTTCATCCCGTCTTCTGTAACTGTCGTCGTGATATCTCGGGCGAACATAATTGAAAAGCGAAGAACTTGGCACAGCTGAAAGCTACAGATTTGAATTTCGTTCGTTCAGATAACTGGTATTCAAAAATAATTTTTTTCTGCAGAATTGGAACGAGGAGAACAGCAATCATGCTCAGGTTTAAGAAATTAAATAGAGAAGGAAATCACGGAGGCTGGCTTTTACCGCGTTCCGTTTATAAAATATGAATGATGAATTCAAACTCGTTTTCAGCTACTTCAGTGAGGTAGTAAAGTTCCCAAATACTTAATAACTGATTTTTGCCTGAACCTATTCTATCTCAAGCGGTAGGTTGAACTCGAAGGTGTAGTATCTGTGAATCCCAGTCACTAATAAGTGCACGAGTACGTATACAGTAACTAAAATCGTTAAAATATAATAATACCGGCATGGTGTGAGTAAAACGGATCCGGTCCCATGGGAGAGTAACGGCCTTGTGATGTGGGAGAAAGTGGTGGCTCTGAAACTGAAGTCACTCAGCACATAAGCTATGATTAGAAAGGTTTAAGTTTTTGAAAACTTTTTCAAAGTGGTCGTTAGGTTCAAATCAGTTTAATAGTAAATGAATAGGAGATTTCAAGAAGACAACTGTAGGAACTCGAGGAGGAGCGATTCTTCATGTTTCCAGAATGTTTTTTTTGTGATTTGCGATTCTAACGAGAAGATTATTAGGAAATGAGGGAGGTGGGAAACGGCAGATCGATCCAGTGAAGCAATAGTGTACGGTGATAAGCTCGTGGGCTCATGCAGTGGACTCGAGATAGAATAAAAGGTTACATCTTCAATGCCTGTGCTGGTTCGTGCTATTGATTACGCTACGCGATTACGCTTATCCGAACACCGATAATCTGGGAATAGAAGAAGGCCATGGACAACGACCATTATAATGGTCCAAAGATGGGTCGAGTAATCAATTGTAGAAAGTTTACTGTGTCAACAGAGCTGAAAAGGAAAAATGAATTTTTAGTGGATGACAAGTAAAAAGATAAAAAACATGAGAATGAGCGCCGATATCATAAGTGAGTGTCATGATCTGTGTCAAACTCGCATCGTCTAGGTAATTCTAGGCATTCCCAGATAGAAAAATCACGGTCGGAAATCTATAACTTGTAATGAAAGAGAGATGTCATAACTTTGTCAGACGATCCGACTTTGTTAGAGGAAGGGAAGAAGCTCGGCAAATTTGTGGGGTTTCAGCGAAAACTGATTGTGTACCCACGTACCAGGTAATTTTGCAAAATAACAGTTTACAACATAGAAAAATAAACTCATGATCTTTTCAAATCTGCCTACTGCCTTGCTATAGGATCTCCATGAAAAAAGTTCTCAACTTGTGTATACCCGACCAAACGCCTTAACAATACTACTGATTATTCGTAGACAACACTACTTGGCTCTACCAAAACTTGCTCGTCGGCTGTCAGATCTGATTCCCATCCATAGAGAAGGTGCTCTTAACAATATTGTGCTGTTCCCGAGCTTTCTGGAGCAAAATAAAATTCTACACAAAAAAAGAAGAGGGCGGAGAGGTCAGACTGATGAATGGTTTTCGGACGTTGCATATAGTTTTGTTAGCTGTTCTAGTGCCTGTTGCATCTAGCTGAAAGTTTCGATGAAAGAACTGCCCCGTTACTGTGAACATGCGGCCATGATGCCGATGAAGGAAGAGGGAGATGAAGAGGAATGCCGCTTAGAGAATGTGTGACCACCGTCACTCTCTATTAGGATTGACATTACTGCTGTTGCACTTTTCTATCCTGTTCTTTTGATGTCGACTTGATGTCTTTGTCAAGAAAAACTGTAATGTAAGCGCACTCACCATCGTAGAGACCTTCTGTGACCCTGTCGAGATCTCTGAAATGGATTCAGTCAGTGCAATATCGACCACGATGCGTTCAACTAAGATTTGTGCTCATAAAACGTGTTACAAAACATAAGCCGAATGTCACTCTGAAGCAGTTAGCCACCGTAGTGCCTCGTCGGCTAGTGATCCGATTGTGCGATTACGAATGCGTCGGTCACGATTCTTGCGGCGAATGTAGGCAGCTGCCGACTCCCAGCTCTCTTTGCCACGAGTACTGGAAGCCACAAAGCGTTACATCAAGCCCTTACCTCATCAGCAACGATATACACATGGTCTACGTCTGATGCGCCAATTGTAGTCGTAAGACTGGACACACAACACTAACTTAATTTGGTTAGCAACCACGATACGTAAAAACACACGACTGGCCCACTAAAACCCGGGTTACCGCCGTACAGGTTAGCTGACCCTGAATCGGCGGTTCGCGCGGGCGGCTACGAACTAATGTATCGAAGCACACATCTTATTCAACTGACGTCGTGATATGTGAGAGCCATGCACTCTTGGCATTGCTAGGACGATAGAGTAGATTTGTGTAGTAGAGTCTAAACTGGGCACCATTATCAGCAATTACATCGCCATTCCCCTGACACGTTCTATTTCATTCTGCTGTATTCATATGAGAATGCTGAAGGGTTTAACTTTGGCGCTGACAAAAGGCTTATCTTCCGCATGCTATTCAATGAGCTCAAATTGACCGCTTCTCAGGGAAAATGTTTCAAAAAGTCCGCAACAGGGAATTCATAGGTATAACGAACAAGAGCGGTATTCTTCCTTCATGTTCACAAAGACTGATTTTCCTCTATTTTACTTATGACCCTCTAAAAAAGTCCAAAAAAGTTCTGACTCAGCAGTGACAAAATTGGCATAATTTTGCGGAGTTTGAGGCCACGAAGAAACAGTGATTGAGCTTCAGACGAACCGATAATTCACCCGACTTTAAAGCAACTGACCTTGAATCCTCCAGCGCACCAGCCGTCTGATTCTCTACAGCTTTCATCTCTTGACCTTTCTTAATTGTTGAGTTGGGTTCAATTGCCACCTAAAAACGAGACTATGACCTTCTTTAGAGATAAGGAATATTATAAGATCTTCCGCTTTCTATTGTGACTAAATGACGAAGGAATAACCATAGATGTGCCCTTGGAGAATTAACGGAAGTTATGGCTTTAGTGTATTGCGTGTTCGTTGAAGCGAGACTGCTGGCTGTATCATTTGTATTCGATAAGAGTAAAATGTAGTTCTAGCACAAAATATTCAGGAAGATTCATCGGAGAAGAGTTCTAACTTATTTTAGTTCTGAATTTTGAATGGAGAGTTAAATTAATCGGTAGAGATCGGAATGCTTCATGAATATAGAAGAAAACCTGCCAGGAGATTCTCAAAAAATGAGAACATTCAAAGTTGGAATGCTCAAATTTTTGAAGAAAATGTTCGAAATACGCAGTTGATGCAAGCACAGTAAGCGTCTACGTGGCGCAGTTTGTGAAAGCTCCCATTTCAAGAGAGAGTGGTTTGTTCCCAACCGTCTCAAGAATTTTGCACAGTGTCATCCATCCTAATATTTTACACTTCATTCGATCAAGTTAAAAGGTTTGCCAACTAATTGCTGCTAATAATTGAAAAAATAGCCAGCAGTAAGGAGGCTCTTCATCGCATATGAACCCTCCGCGAAGGCAGAGGAACAGCTTTTTTTCTATCTTGTAGAAAGTGAGACTACAGTGGGACACTCTCATGAGGATCTTGACTTTTGGGGAATAGTAGCCGAAGTAGGCCAAAGCTTCTTATAATACAATCAATCAAAATAATTTTGTAGACATTAAAGCTACAAACCTGTGTGCTAATCATATTCGAGCCATTCACTCGCGAGTAGGGCTTCGACTCCATGGCTTTGCTCTGTTCGGCCACCGTCATGAAGTAGCTGGGAGGCACTGTGGGAGTCTTCGGTTCTGTAAAGAAATTTCCGTTATCGAACAGAACCAATATTCTTTTTAAAGTTAGAAATTGTTCCCTCCGCTCCACTCTTACGCATGAAATAGAAAAACTTCTCACTTTGTCTTTCTGTTTATTTAAAGGCACACTTCACGATAATTTTGAGGTACCCTTTTAGGTTGGAAAGCGGAAGTGTTGATGTAAAGGAGTACATACGTGGCGAAGAAAGCGAGAAAATTCGTATACTTTAAGCTTTTTAAAAGTAGTGGAAGTGAAGGTTGTACGAGATAACCGCGGAAGGAATGGCATGTGAGGGATTTTTGGACGAGATCTAACTTGTTCCCATCGTGCAAAGAGCTGACTACATTAAACCATAACTGCCCAGAATTGCCTTTTACTGTCGCTATAGGTCATGACAAGTTGTTTGAACTTCCTACATGGTTCTCTTGTGAATGCTGCAGCCTCTACTAAGCCGTTGAGACTCGTCCACTGAGGGGTGTGGCATTCACACTATACAATCTCTGGTCCCTTATTGTGCACTATCTAAAACGTTTCCTTGCCTTCATAACGACAGGCATAGCATAATTGGGAGCCTCAAATTCATACTACAGGGGAATCTCAGAAACCATTTTTATCGTGAACTATGCCTGTAAAGGCGTGTCGCATGCTATCAGCCTTTGTCACAAAACATCTCCGGTCACTTCCAACCTCTTATCAATTACCATGGTGCCTAGGTTTCATTGCTTATGTCTCTTTACAGCCTTTTCTCTTGTCGGGCGGTATGCATAAGGCCCAATGTAGAAAAGGGACGAATACGCTAAGTAAATGTTTGCTAAAAACGCGAAAGTTCAAATAGCCTCTCAATATTGTGTGTCAGAATAGTGACGATATGGCAAGGTGAAGAGCGATCCCATTCTTCCCTAATCGGGAAAGAGAGCTTCATTTTCTAGGGCGAGAGATAAATCAGCCCTAGAATTGAGCTGGGGCGCCGATAGTCATGTAAACTGTTACTCCGCTATTCAGTGGGTGGTGCAGTGGTATGTTTCATGCACAGTCACGGGTTCAAAGCCTAGATCGATATCCGCCTAGAACAACCAAACCTATCATCCTTTCGGGGTCAGTTAATTGCTCTTTCTCGTCTGAGCGGATGAAAGAACTGACTTGAACATCGTCTAGTCACTGCAAATCATTGTAAAGGCCAGATACGCATCCAATACGCCACAACGATTCTGAATGGAAGTCGAATGCGTGGGCACATCCTTCAGACGGGATTGATTAACGCTCCAAGACTTTATCCCTTGTCATTTATTCCTCTGAGTGCTTATTAAGTATTGCTCCACTTTTTTGTGCTATTGCAAAAAGCTAATAATGTATTTATGTTGGGGTCGGTGCTGAGAAGCAGCTGAATTGGTGAATAACAGGGTTGTTCCTCCCATATTCACACCAATTATCGAGCAGGTTGCATCATAATCCTGGTTTGATTTGAGGGAAAACGAGAATTATTTCTGTCAGCAACTATTATTTATTTTTCGACTTATTCGTATATTATTTCATGTCCTACTACATTTTATTCTTTATATATCTGGCCATTCCTGACGTGGTAGGAGGTAACTTTATTTTTCTAGACGAACCCTGCTTTCAAAAGAGGTGTGCGAACTTTTGCACGAAAGAGCCACTTTTTGCCTGAGTGATAAACCCGCTGCCAATATGTTGCCTGCATCTCTCATAAGTGAGTGAAAGGTGAATAGTTGAAGATGTATAAATAGCATCAGAAAGAATGTCCAGCGCCTTAAGTACGAATCATGTTGTTGAAAAGGATGCATGGGTGAGACACTGCAACGCAGAGATATGCTTCAACAGGGTGAGGCGCCGAATTAGGGTAAAGGATATCTACCATAGTTTACATCAGAGGCTAGGAAGAAGAAGTAAATATTCGGGAAGTGAAGACGTTTATGTAGAATGACAGCTGCAATGCTGGGTGCAGGTGTATTGAGGGAGGTGAAGTATGCGTAGGATTCTCGATGTATGAGGTTCCAAAGCTGTGGATAGNAGGGACTGGAACGACTAAATACTCCTAATGGGTTGGTGCCCATATAGTTCTTGCATCCTCTCCATGTCGTGCTGAATTTAGCCCTAAGTATTCACAAAAAGTGCGAAACAGTGCAAATCGTCCATCTAATAGTTTCTGGTGACCTGGTAACAACTAGCTACCACGATATCAACTACTTATCTGATATCTGTATAAAATTTGATGATGCTTTGGGAGCATCACTTTCCAGATGTAAAATTTAATGCTTGGTGTTCAGTGAACTCATTGGACGAGAATTATTCATTAGACATGTTGATCATAATATATTAATTCTCACAGCCTCAATAAACATAAATGTCTACTAGAAAATCTTTGATTCTCTTGACTACTTTGACAGCTTGATGGAACTTATATCCGTTCTTTGAGACCTGCCTGCCTTGATGAGTTCGTCGGTCTCATCCTGCCTCCATAAGTAGGCAAGTCCGGTCTAGGGTACTGCAACGGCACTTAAACAATACCGCCGAGCTAACTCAGCTTCGTACGCCACCAGACGATCAAGACGATCAACCGAGCAGCGAGCCCTTTCTCACTCTTCCCGCCGAACGCCCTGCGACGCTGAAATGCCTTGCCGAGCAGAAGGTGAAAAACAAGGGATGACATCATGAACATGAAGTTCGTGACAGAATGTTCGAAACTATTCGTTTCCAAACGCTTAGCTTGCTTACTGCCTTTCCATTTATTTGCTTTATACAAACTTGATGATGGTATGGGAGCAGTATAATAGCATTTGAGTTTTCGTATTTAGTTAGAGGTGCTCTGTACTGAGGTGCGTGAAAACTGGATGTTGGTTCTTAGATTTTCACACCTCTCCGAGCGCATTTGCAATGAATTTTTCTAAATTCAAATTCAAACTTTGAATTACCTACACTACGTTAGTTCTAAATATTAATACTTGACGAAATCGACAGCAGAGAATTGAGGAATAAAGGATAATTGATATAATTTTGGGGCATGATCAATCCCGCATTAGGAGTGCACCCTCGCATTCCACTTCCATTCAGAATCGTAGTTGTGTTTTGAATGCGTATGAGACCTATACAATGACTTTCGGTGGCCAGCACATGTCCAGTTCACTACTTTTGTTCTCCCAGACGAGTCTGGCACCAATTAATCAATCCTGGAGGAATGGAAGGCTTGGTTGGCCCAGACAGATATTGATCGGGACTTGAACCCCTGTTCGTGTAAGATAGTGCCCACTTGTTACTACACCACCTCCGCTCCAGGACTCTATTATAAATACAAAAAGCATAAAGAATTCAAAAACTTCTGTCATGTCAGCGTGCTACGTGAGTCTTGCAGAGATTACTCATGCAGTAAAAATTGATAAGGACTAATAAGGGCTGGTCTGAAGAATTGCTGAAACTTTTTTGGGGAAGATCACTTTTTCAAAAAATTCGCGTTTGAAACCGCAGATAATGAATGAACTGGATTGGAGTTGGGATGACCCAGAGCTAGAGTAGCAATTAGATCCTAATCTCACAAGAAAAGCTTGCTTGCTAAACAGGGCTATTCAAAGGCCAGAAAAAAGGTCTACAGAGTGGGCCAAAACTATGATGACAGCGCGCGCTTCGCTCGTACCGAATTTTTTCTGAGCTTATAACATTTCATTCGATTCATTCCATTTGACAAGGTAGATCACATAATTTCCTTCCTAGTGATACCAAACTTTTAGCAGATCTCAAAATAACGCCAGCGTCACTACCCCGTGAATCAATCATCGATTAGCGTTTACAAACAGTTTTCACATGGTACATCTACAAACGACATAAAGTAACAAGGCAGGTGGTACATTCAACCATAAGACGCTTTCGAAAGTTGGGAACAATTGCAGAAAGGAGGGTTAAACCTAAGACTCCTACGATTATATTTAGGGGGAGTGTCAAGGAAGCATGGCGAAGATCTGCGTAGCAGCGAAGTTCGCTTTGATCCCAAGATGG